ATTCCATCGATCCCAAGTTGCCTTTTTAGGCTACATCATATCTGCGGAGGGATTCTCCATGGACCCTCAGAAGGTTTCGGCGGTTCTGCAGTGGCCTCGTCCCAATGGTCTTCGGCCCATTCAGCGTTTTTTTGGGTTTTGCCAACTACTATCGGAAGTTCATCAGGAACTTCTCCACGCTGGCAAAGCCTCTCTCAGACCTAACCAAGAAGGGCAGTAATCCTCACGAGTGGTCATCCGAGGCCATCGTAGCTTTCGAGGCTCTGAAATCCGCCTTCGCTTCGGCTCCGATACTGTCTCATCCCAATCCTGGATTGCCCTTCGTCCTTGAGGTCGATGCATCCGAGACTGGAGTAGGCGCTCTCCTGTCTCAACGTCGGTCGCCCCGATGGACCCCTACTTCCCTGTGGGTTCTACTCCAGGAAGCTTTCCTCTGCAGAGTGCAACTACCAGATTGGAGATAGGGAGTTGTTGGCAATCATTCTGGCTCTCAAGGAATGGAGGCACCTGCTCGAGGGCTCCGCGGTTCCGGTCCTCATTCTTACCGATCATAAGAACCTGACTTATCTTTCGGAGGCCAAAAGATTGACACCCCGTCAGGCCAGATGGGCCTTGTTTTTGTCGCGGTTCAACTATGTGGTCTCCTATTTGCCTGGTTCCAAGAATGTCAGGGCTGATGCATTATCGCGGCAATACTCTGAGTTGTCCAGGGAGGACTCTGAGCCAGCCTCGGTCATACCTCCAAATCAGATCCTGGCTGCCATTCGCACCAGTCTGACTTCTCCCCTTGGGGAGCAGATTTTGGCGGCTCAAACTGACGCTCCTCCCGAGAGACCGGAGGGTAGATGTTTTGTACCCGAGGGGTTGCGCACCCGTCTGCTGCGTACTTACCATAACTCCAAAACTGCCGGGCATCCGGGGAGGAACCAGTTGTCTTGGGTCGTCTCTCGGTTGTTCTGGTGGCCAACTCTCCGTGCCGACATCGCCTCTTATGTAGCGGCATGTTCGATCTGTGCCCAGAATAAATCTCCACGGCATCTTCCAATGGGTCTTCTGCAACCCATTCCCAATGGGGAGCGTCCTTGGTCACACCTGGGCATGGACTTTATTGTAGACCTCCCTGTGTCTCGGGGTCATACGGTCATTCTCATGGTCGTCGATCGTTTTTCCAAAATGTGCCATTGTATTCCACTCAGGAAATTACCAACAGCGCAAGAACTGGCCACGGTCTTTTCCAGGGAGATTTTTCGCCTGCATGGGTTGCCCAAGGTGATTGTCTCGGACCGCGGGAGTCAGTTCGTGTCCAGATTCTGGCGCGCCTTCTGCTCCCAGTTGGGTATTAGTCTCTCCTTTTCTTCAGCCTACCACCCGCAGTCCAATGGGGCTGCGGAGCGTTCCAATCAGGCCTTAGAACAATTCCTTCGGTGTTATATCTCGGACCATCAGGACGATTGGGCCGATCTCCTGCCTTGGGCAGAGTTTGCCAGGAACTCAGCGGTCAACTCCTCCTCCGGGATGTCTCCCTTCATGGCCAACTATGGGTACCAACCCGCGGTATTACCTGAGAGGTTCTCACCACAGGACATTCCGGCTGTGGAGAACCATCTTGCTGCCCTGCGTTCTTCATGGGGGCAGATCCAGAGGGCTTTGAGGGACTCGGCTCAGCGTCAGAAGTTCCAGGCTGATCGCAGACGGTTGCCCGCTCCTTCATACCAGGTCGGCGATCGGGTGTGGTTGTCTACTCGTAACCTCAATCTTCGGGTGCCCACACCCAAACTAGCTCCCCGTTTTGTCGGTCCTTTTCGCATTCTCCGCAAGGTGAATCCGGTGGCCTATGCCCTTGCCCTTCCACCTGGGATGCGGATCTCCAATATCTTTCATGTATCACTGTTGAAACCTCTGATCTGCAATCGCTTCACCTCTCTGCCTCGGCCCCGTCCCATTCGGGTTGACGGTCATGAGGAGTATGAGGTGAGCCGGATCCTGGACTCTCGATTGGTGCGCGGTCGATTACAGTTCCTGGTTCATTGGCGCGGTTATGGTCCCGAGGAGAGCGTTCCTGGGTTCCTTCCGCGGATGTCCATGCTCCTGCCCTCCTCCGCGCTTTTCATACCCGCTTTCCTCAGAAACCTTTTGTTGAGCCGCGGAGGGGGAGGGGCCCTTGAGGAGGAGGTACTGTCAAGGTCCTACCTTTTCCCAGAGGTTATGTTACTCCATGTGCTGGCATCCATCTTGGATTTATGCTGAGCATGGTGGGAAGCTTTTATGCCTTCAGGTCTCTGAGGTCCATCCCCCAGAGGGGTGTGGCTGAGTACATATAAGCCTGTGATCCGCACATGCTCTTTGCACTTGTGTCTTGTGTCTTGGTCTTGCTACAGCTCTGTGTATATGCTCGTGACTCTTCTGGTATTTGACTCGGCTTGTGACTAGACCATTCTCTGTGTTTTCCTTCGATCTGACCTTCCGTTGCTGAACCCGGCCCGTGACCTGTGATTCTCTGTCTGCTGTTCTGTACTGTTTTGTCCCGTTGTTGTTGTTGACCCAGCTTGCCTGACTACGCTATTGTCATTCTCACCAGCTACACGCCATTGGCGGCGGCCATTACCGCAGCCGGGGTGTCTCGGGGGCCGCAACCTGGTTCCTGGCTGCGTCAAGTCCATCCCCACCATCAGGGGCCCTGGTGAAGGGCAGCCTGGGACTTAGACTCCGCGCCCTGAGGGACTTCGGTCTGTTGGTGGTGGTTGTCGTCAGCCAGTGCGTTACCCTGCCACTAGGCCTACCTGTCCATTCCACAGCCCTGCCCTGACAGCCTGTAATTGGCATTGGTATGTTGGGCCCATCCTCCATGCAGATCTCCTCCTCCATGCAGATCTCCTCTAGAGCAGTGATGTTTTGGGGCTGTCGCTGGGCAACACAGACTTTCAACTCCCTCCAAAGGTTTTCTATGGGGTTGAGATCTGGAGACTGGCTAGGCCACTCCAGGACCTTGAAATGCTTTTTTCGAAGCCACTCCTTCATTGCCCGGGCGGTATGTTTGGGATCATTGTCATGTTGGAAGACCCAGCCACGTTTCATCTTCAATGCCCTTGCTAATGAAAGGAGGTTTGCACTCAAAATCTCACGATACATGGCCCCATTCATTCTGTCCTGTACATGGATCAGTCGTCCTGGTCCCTTTGCGGAGAAACAGTCCCAAAGCATGATGTTGCCACCCCCATGCTTCACAGTAGGTATGGTGTTCTTTGGATGCAACTCAGCATTCTCTCTCCTCCAAACACGACGAGTTGTGTTTCTACCAAACAGTTCTATTTTGGTTTCATCTGACCATATGACATTCTCCCAATCCTCTTCTGGATCATCCAAATGCTCTCTAGCAAACATCAGACGGGCCCAGACATGTACTGACTTAAGCAGAGGGACCCGTCTGGCACTGCAGGATCTGAGTCCCTGGCGGCGTAGTGTGTTACTGAGGGGGAGCCTTTGTTACGTTGGTCCCAGCTCTCTGCAGGTCATTCACTAGATCCCCCCGTGTGGTCCTGGGATTTTTGCTCACCGTTCTTGTGATCATTTTGACCCCACAGGATGAGATCTTGTGTGGAGCCCCAGATCGAGGGAGATTATCAGTGGTCTTGTATGTCTTCCATTTTCTAATTATTGCTCCCACGGTTGATTTGTTCACACCAAGCTGCTTGCCTATTGCAGATTCAGTCTTCCCAGCCTGGTGCAGGTCTACAATTTTGTTTCTGGTGTCCTTCGACAGCTCTTTGGTCTTCACCATAGTGGAGTTTGGAGTGTGACTGTTTGAGGTTGTGGACAGGTGTCTTTTATACTGATAACAAGTTCAAACAGGTGCCATTGATACAGGTAATGAGTGCAGGACAGAGGAGCCTCTTAAAGAAGAAGGTACAGGTCTGTGAGAGCCAGAAATCTTGCTTGTTTGTAGGTGACCAAATACTTATTTTCCACCATAATTTGCAAATAAATTCTTTCCAGATCAGCCAATGTGATTGTCTGGATTTGTTTTCTCATTTTGTCTCTCATAGTTGAGGTCTCCCTATGATGCCAATTATAGGCCTCTCTCATCTTTGTAAGTGGGAGAACTTGTACAATTGGTGGTGACTAAATACTTTTTTGCCCCTCTGTAAGTATTAGTCCTCATGCACACGGGACGTTTTTACAGCGGCTGTTTTTGGGCGGGTTTTTTCTACAGCCAGTAAACCCCCCCCAGCATGTTATCCTATGTGTCCGTGCACACAGAGACTGGAATCAACGTTTTTTTTGCTGGGAAAAAACCCCCAAAACTAGCCGGCTTCTAGAGGAGTTTTTTAGCTGTAAAAACGCTCTAACACTGAAAAACGTGACAAACCGGCATTTTTGGACCTTTTTTTTTTACTAAAAAAAAATATTTTTTTGGAAAAACCTAAAAAAAAATGCAAATGCGGCAAAACGCTGCTAAGCGCTAATACAAAAACGCTGAAAAACGTAAGTTTTTAACGTGACTTTACACAGTTAACGTTACCAACATTATTAAAACGCCGCGTGTGCATGGAGCCTAAAAAATAGTTGATTGAGAGAGTTTATTTCCACCTTAACCACTTGAAGACCAGGTCTTTCTGACACTTTTTGTTTACATATAAAAGTCAGTACAGTTTTTTGGTAGAAAATTACTTGGAACCTCCAAACATTATATATTTATTTAAATCAGAGGCCCTGAACAGGGGTCTCCAAACTTTTCAAACAAAGGGCCGGTTTATGGTCCTTCAGACTTTAAGAGGGCCGAAGTGTGGCCATTGTGGGTAGAAAATGTCCCAGGCCTAACATCAGTGAGAATAAACATGGCCTCAGGGATGGTGGTCAGTAGGAAGGAGAGTAGTGGCCGATCATTGGTATTAATGGGAGGAATAGTACCCCATAGGTGTTATCAGTGGAAGAAATGGTGCACTGGAGGAGGAGGCACTAGTAGGTGGCACTGATGGGCATTGACAGGCATCGCTGATGGGCACTAAAAGGCAGCACTGATATATGGCAATGTTATGTGGCACTGATAGGCAGCTCTGACAGGCACTGATAGGTGGCACTGACTTGCATTCATATGTGGCACTGACTGGCACTGATAGGTGGCACTGAAAGGCAGGTTAGATGGGCACTGATGTGTGGCATTGATGTGCACTGGTAGGCACTGATATGTGGCATTGATGAGGCATTGATGTGCACTGGCAGGTGGCATTGATGTGCACTGGCAGGTGGCATTGATGGACACTGACAGGTGGCACTGCTGGGGCTACACTGATCATCAGGGCACACTGATCATCAGAGCCCTGATGATCAGTGTACATGTCCCTCTGATGAATGCCGATTACCGGCTCTCCTCTCCTGTCCTCTGTCAGCGTGACAGCTCGTGGGGAGAGAAATGCCGATAACCAGCATTTCCCTATTTACATTTGAACAGCTGTGATTGGACACAGCTGATCACATGACCGAGCTGACCTCTTTCAGCTCTTTCCATTGATCGGTGATCCGTTGTGTCCGAGGGACACAGCGCACCGCCGATCACCGTGCTGCGTGCTCCCGGAGCCACGCACGCGCGGGTTAGAGTGGGAGGACGTGATATGACGTCCTCCCAGAACGAGAAAACCATCTTGCGCCCGTCATTTCCTTATATGGAGGGCGGGAGGCGGTTAAAAATGCAATTGATGACGATTTTTTTCACGGTTGGGTTTGAGGGCAGCTTTTACTGAGACCCCAGTTGGCCCGTCCAGCTAAAACATTACCTGTACATTGTCTCAAAGCTGCATATAAAGCTTTTCTTGCATTGACATTCATGTTCCTGTCTACAGTATTTCCGCGGCAAAAAACAAAGGCTTTAAATCTTTCTAGACAACGAAGCGTAAAGCAATAGATTCCTTATCCCCCCTCGTTGTTCTAGCTGCAGAATGAAAATATTTTAGTTGAAGGTCATACTCATCCGCACTCCCAGTACTGAAAGAGTCAACTTACGCCGGCGTTGTTAAACAGCAGCCTTAATTTGTCTCCCTGTTTGAAACGCCATCCAATTATCAAAGCTGCAACAGAGAAGCAGTTACTAAGGCTATCCATTTATCTTAACCCGTCCTCGGTAAAAATGCGTGCTTCACGCTTACACCGTGAATACATTGAATTGGCCCGTTGGCTTAACAAGATCTCTTGAGAGCGCGTACGTGACGTGGGGAGCGATGGACCCGCTGGATGGGGGCCAGAATTGATTTGCAGGCTCACTTAAAAAAAATACTGCGAGAAAGAAAAGAGAGAAAAGTCCGACCTGCAAAAATGCAAGGGCCCCATGGGAACAGAGAGTTTGTCTATAGACTCATTTTATAAATGTTGGAAGAAATTCTCTCCTCCTCGGCGTGCCATCGTGGGGTGCTCCAGCTGCATTGTTTAGCCAGCAGCAGAACTGGATATTCGTGGCCTTTGTCAGTAAATGTAATAAAGGGATTCATTGACTATATAATGTGAAGTGTATGGCACATTAAAGTGTCAGCATTTTATTTGTGGTGTATCTTGGGGGACATTTTGGTGATGTATGGAGCATCTCTGCGTCAGGGTGGAAGGAGATGCTTGAACAGTAATGAAAGATTTGGGATAAACAAACACTGCAGGACTATATTTTGGATTGAACTCTAGGTCTGTATTTTTTTTTGTGGCATATCTGGCCCAGCGTGTCCGATGTTATTTGTAGACTTTACGGTGCTGAGCAAGGCATGGCATCATCTCACAGATTCAGAAACATTTCTGCAGAATTCCTGACCTTCAGAACTTGGTGTTCTGTTTCAGCATTGGTCTTGTTCTGTCTTGCATGTAGAGCTCTCCCTTCCAGGTAGATTTTCGGGAACAGAATACGTTCTGGTGCTTTTATAGAAGCTCTTCAAGGCCTTGACCTGTAAGCTAAAACCTGCATTGAGGTTTATTTTTTTCTTGTTTTGGTAACCTAAACAACTTCAGAGTCTCTGCTCAGGCATCTATGTTCTGCTAAGGATGTAGGTCAAGCTAGGAGTCTGCCCTGACAACATATAATTCATAGAACAAGGAAAGAAATCTAAGCCACTGCACACCATGCAAGCCCAGCATGTAATAGATGATAGCAGTTCAGCCTAGCTCCATCCAGTCAAGGCCTCCAACATGCTTCACCCCATTCACAGGACCTCCATGACTAAGCACCTTGGGCGGGACAAAACATGTCAGGGGTGTGGACTGGATGGACCTAGGCTGAAGCTGCTATCACCTATTACATGCTAGGCTTGGATGGTGTACACTGGATGAGAATTCTCTCCTTTTTCCTGTTTTTGTAGTAGAGTTCTCCACTGTGCTATGATGGCGATTTGATCTAACCTTTTTACCTTAGAGGAACCCTTAAAATAATTTTCAGGTCTTGGAGAACCCTTACTAAAACCAGTTCAAGAGTTGATGGGGAAAATTAATGATAGACAGTGGTCTCCAAACTGCTGCCTGGAGGCCTAATGCAACCCTTTGCTTGCTTTTATCTGGCCCTTGGGGCCTTATTCCCCCCCACTGTCAGGAACAGTGGGGCATAGTTCCTGCCACTAACACCCACAATGGGGCATTAATTATCCCACTGACACCAATAATGGTACACTATTCCTCCCATTGATTCCAATGGTGGGACACTGTTCCTCCCACTGACACCAAGAATGGGGGACACTATTCCTCCCACTAACACCAATTATGGGACAACTATTCCTCCCACTGACATCAATGATGAGACACTATTCCTCCCACTGACACCAATGATGGGGCACTATTCCTCCCACTGACACCAATGATGGGGCACTATTCCTCCCCCACTGATACCAATGATGGGGCACTGTTCCTCCCACTGACACCAATGATGGGGCACTATTCCTCCCACTGACACCAATGATGGGGCACTATTCCTCCCACTGATACCAATGATGGGGCACTATTCCTCCCACTGACACCAATGATGGGGCACTATTCCTCCCACTGACACCAATGTTGGGGCACTATTGCTCCCACTGATCCCAGTGATGGGGCATCATTCCTCCCACTGACAACAATGATGGGTCATCATTCCTCCTCCATCATTCCTCCTACTGACACCAATGATGGGGCACTATTCCTCCCATTGATACCAACAAAGGGACACTATTACTCCCCCTAATACTTCTGATGGGGCACTATTGCTTCCACTGACACTAATGATAGGGCATGATTACTTTCCTAATATCAATAATTGAGCATTATTTACTCCCACTGATGCCAGGACACGTTCTTCCCCCCACTGACCACAGTCTGCCCTCCCCCCCACAAAGTTTGAAGGACAGTAATCTGGCCCTCTGTTAAGAAAGTTTGGAGACCCCCTAAGTAGGAAGAATGCAGCCCTTACAGTGGTGGTCAGAATGTCTTCTTTACAGACAGCTAAAAAAGATAGTTTTGCATTGCTGCTGGTTTTGCCAAGTAGCTTTGGCCCTGGAACGATGCAGGTACCATCATATAGGAGATTAATCAGCCAGAGCACAGGGAACCCCTAGCAAACTTTGAAGTAAACCCTAGGGTTCCACAAAACTATGGTTGGCATGGGCTGAGCTATGTAGTGATGCTGCAAGACTCGCCTTGATTCGCTTTGTGATTCTTGTGCTAGAAGTGAACACTTCTTGGTTATATATTGTAAATGGTGCTTAGTTTGGTGAGGCCCAGAGGTGAAGCTTTTCTTAGTTTTGTACTGGTATAGGAACTCCTTTGACTCCTTTCTAGAAATAGATCTCTCGTTCAGCTGTCCCAACCCTTCTTGACCATGTTCTGTAAGTGAAATTTTGTTTAGTGCTGCCCTGGAAGAGGATCTCTCTCCAGTTCTATCCTAGGAAGGGAGTCTCTTTAGTCCCTGATAAGGAGCTCTCTTTTTTTCATCCTGAAAGGGGAACTGTCTATTAGTCCCAACCTGGGAGGTGAGCTCCCTTCAGTTCCATCCTGGGAGGGGAACTGTCTATTAGTCCCAGCCTGGGAGGGGAATGCTCATTGGTCCTGTGAGAGTAGTTCTCGGTCTTGTCCTGTGGGGGGGGGATCTCTTATCAGGCTCATCCTGTGAAGAGAGCTCAATCCAGTCCTTTTCTGGTACAGAAGCTGTCTTCTGTTTCATCCTGTAACGAGAGGGTTTTTTTGGTCCTAATCTGGGAGGGGGGCTTTTTTTTTGGACTTGTCCTAGGAGAGGGCTCTCCTCAGTCTGGTCCTGGGAGGTGTCTGATGTGTGTGTCATAGTGATAGTGTCACCTTTTGTTTCTCATCACAATTCTAATCACTTCCACTGTGCAAGCCTTAAGGAAGGAGGGGGCCTTTCCCCCAAAACACATTGGTGCTATTTGGTGTTCTTAACCAGTAAACATTACAAAAACACCTCTTAGTGATAGAAACGTTTGTACTATGCGCTCCTCAATACCCACCCCAGAGTTTACTGTCCTGGGAGGAAACTCTCCTTTAGTCTTTTTCCTAGGAGGGGATTTCCCTTTGGTCCCATTCTGGAAGGGGAGCATTCTTGGTCCCATTCTGGAAGGGGAGCATTCTTGGTCCCATCCTGTGACCTCTCCTTGGTCCTGCCCTTGGAGGAGAACCGTTCTTCAGGTGCTATCCTGTGAGGGGAGAGCTCTCTTCGGTCCAGTACTGTTAGGGGGGCTCTCCTTGGTCCCATCCTGTACGGGGAACTCTCCTCAGTTCCACCCTGGTAAAAGAGCTGTCATTGTCTTGTCCTGGGAGGGAAACTGTCTTTAATTCTTTCAGTTGGTTGCTGACCCCTTTTTGATCCTGCCCTGGGAGTGGAACCCTCTTTGATCATTCTGGAAGGGGAGCTCTCTTTGATATCTTTTTTTTTTCCCCTATCCCGACATTTGATCATTGTCTGGGAATGGAGCACTCTTTGGCCTTTTCTCGATAATGGTACTGGATCTGGTATCAAAGAGTTCTCTCTGTTGGCTGTTATGTGATCTACATTTCCCATACACTAAAAGTTTCATCTTCAGATCAGTAAGAGATCTACTGATCCACCAGATGCATACCCAAAGCCAGCATCCACACTTGTATTTATTCAGTCTTTATTGCTACACCTGCATTGAATAGATTATAATCTTTTCTGTGAACACTTTTGTGAAATCTTTCTGTTTGTTGGAGAAATGTAGTAATTTCTTTTGGAATAAAAATGCCCCTGCATTTGGTGAGGTTAGGCCCAGAGTTTTCCACTTGTGAGCACTTAGCATTTTAAATGCTTAGATAAACACATTTCAACCTTTTATATAACAAAGATGTACCATCTCCTAGACACTAATAAGACCTTATGGTTTGGTTCAAAGATAGTTTTTTTGTTTGTTTTTTAAACCAAAAAATGAGGTTCATGGAAATATCCGGTGACATTTCAGAAAAGGATTCATTTATTCCACACTAAACCTGTAGACTGACTACATATCTTTTCTATGTAAGTAACATTCATTCCCAGTCATCACTGGCATCTGA